GCAACCGGGAGCCGGCCCGGCGGGGAGCAAGGGTCGCGGCTCGCGGGGGGAGGCTCGGCGAGGCGCGACGGGGTCGGAGAAAGTTAAGTGGACGAGCACCCGCCGTGTGCCAGGACCGGCTGGCGCCCCGGTGCCGGGAGAAGATGCGGTGAACTGAGCACCCACTGTGTGTCAGCCGGGTGTCAGACCCTCTGCTTGTCCCAGAAAAGAAAGGCCTGTCGGGCGTCCGCCGAGTGCTAGGCTTGGTGCCAGGAGCTTTCCATTTAGAGATGCAGAGAAGAGCCCATTTAAGAGGCACCTTCCCCAACACTCCCACCTCCTCTAGAGCCAGCTGCACAACGCAGGCCTGAATCGAGGTGGGGGAGGCAGCTGGAGACTTCCCTGTCCCCACGTGGAAGGAAGGTGAAAGCGCTCCTTCCGCATCCAGAGTTCTTGAGCTTTTGGGGGTTGGTGCAGAGTGAGTTTTCCAGAGGATTGCTCTCCCAGGAAGGGCTTCCTGTATTCGCTGGCCAGAGGACCCCCTGCCCCCGCTCTGGGACCGCTCTGGGGCCTCTCTGTGCCCCTTGTCCCCAGCTCTGGGAGGGAAGGCGAGGGACACTGTCCAGGACCTCATGGGAGGTGGGACCCCTGGGACCTGGCAGTTGTCTCAGATGCCTGTGGTCCCGGCCTCCCCCGGTGTCAGAGAGACAGGATGGGGTCCCCGCACGAGTGTGTCCAGTCCTGCCCCACCTCCTACCCCAGGCGGCCCCGTGACTGCCAAGAGAAAGTGCCAGAAAGAAAGGAGGCCAGCATGTGTTCCGGCCTGCTGTGTCCGGCTCAGCCTCTGGATTCTGGGATCCTCAGGGCCACACAGGTGGTTTGCTTCTGCCATACCCGTTTCACAGATGAATAATCTGAGCCCCGGCCAGCCAAGCCATCCACCCAGGGCTGCCAGGCTGGTGAGAGGCAGAGCGGGCCTGCCGCAAGCTGTCCCTGCCTGTCTTCTACCATCCCAGCTGCTGAGGGTGGTGAGGTTGGCTTTGCCAAGCCCTCAGGACCCCTTGGTGGAGACCGGTGACTGGTGTATGTGTCCAGAGTGGCTGGATGTGCCCTGATGGTGGGGTGTGGGACAGGGCACTGCGGTGACGGGCTCTGGGGCACACACGGGAGGGCCCATCAGCCTTGTCCTGCTGTCCCTGCCCGTCTGGGGAGGGGAAGGGGGAGCCACAGGTGCGCTTGCCTGGAGCCAGCAGGGCTTGGGGGAGTCCTGGCAGGGAGCCTCCCCCCCGCAGCTGCCTGCAGGAGAGAGAGGATGAGACTGTCATCTGCCTCTGGGGTCATTCCCCTTCCTGACGCCAGCTGAGGCTCCACCGAGTCAGACACTGTTGAAAGGACTCCAGTGCTGACTGGGGTGGGTTTTCACAGCACTGAGGGCCCAGGCTTTGGAGCCGAGCAGCCTGGTTCTGATCCCAGCCCTGCCAGTCCTCTGATGGGTGGACTGGGGCAGGTGACGTCCCCTCTCTGAGCATCAGTGTCCCCATCCGTCCAGTGGGCTGCTGATGGACGCCCATTTGGCTGTTGGATTGTTCCCCCGGGACGACCCCACCTCACCTCTGCTCTGGGGTCTTTCTGCCTCCAGCTGCCATCTGAATGGCCCTGTGCATTCGAGGACCTGACTGTTGCTGGGCCCCGTTGCGTCTCCCACCCCTCTGGGCCTGCAGGGTCGGGCTCTTAAGTTCCCAAAGGCCCTTTGGAGTCTGCCCCGGCTGCGCCTCACGGTGTGGGGTGGGCCTGGCTGAGGATGGGGTCAGGAGCGCTGCGGCAGGGAGAGGAGCCCCCGGGCCGCCGTGGTGCGGCTTCAGGGAGATAAAGACACGAGGCGGAGGTGGAGCCCGCGGCGGCAGCACTGTCACCTGGCGTCCAGGTGTCTGGGTGTCTCACACGGCCCCACGTGGCTGGGACCATGTGAAGGCTCAGTCTTCTCCCAGGGAAAAAAGCTTTTTTTTTTCTTTCTTTCTCCTTCTTTGCCCCTCTCCAACTCCCCGCCTCTTCCCTCTGACTCTCTACTTCTCTCTGCTCTCTGACTCCCTGCGTGCTTTCTCTGACTTCCTCCCTCCTCCCTCGGACTCCCTCACGCCTCTCTCGGACTTCCTTACTTTTCTCTCGGATTCCTCACTCCTCTCTCTGACTCTCTCTGACTTCCTCACTCCTCTCTCTGACTCCCCGGAGCCCATTCAGTCGCTGATAATCACTCGGCTGTCCCAGGAGCACCGGGCTGGGGCCCAGACAGGGCTGTGGAGGAGACAGACACTGTCCCTGGGGACTGCCGGCTCTTCTCCTCTCCTCTGTCGAGACAGAGGTGACCAGCAGAGTCCCTCTATGAAGGGGTCTTGGGGAGGGGCTCTCGCGGGCCGGGGACCCTCCTCCCTCATCTCCCCTGAAGGCCCGTCTGGCTCAGCCCTGAGGAGACTGAGAAGGGGCTGTGGCCTCCAGCCTCCTCTTCCTCCTGCCCGCAGGTATGCTCAGGGCACCTCAGCAGGGCTACCTGGGGGGGGACCCAATGGCTGGGGCTGAGGGTAGAAGGTCTCAGAGGGGGGCTTCAGGCAAGCCCCGAGGCAGAGCCATTTGCCATTTGATTCACTCACAGATCATTTATCGAGCACCAGCTGTGTACCTGGCATGGCAGTTCTTTGGGATAAGTTCAAAGACGGCTTTAGGACTGAACTAGGCGGGGGGTATGGGGGCCCTAGGCGTGGAGTTACCACCCCGGCTCCCTCATTAACTGAGTGGGCCAGTCACATAGCCTTTTGGGTGTCAGGATCCTTATCTGTGAAACAGAAAAGACAGCCCATACCTCATGGGGGCCGGTGGGGAGGTTGTATCCTCAGTGACTGCCTGGGGTCACATCTCCCCTCTGTTGGTTACTGGCTGTGTAACTGCAAGCAAGTAATTTTGCTGTTGTGGTTGAGAGATCTTTTGCTTGTTTTGTTTTTGAGTTGGGGTCTTACTGTGTCGCCCAGGCTACAGTGCAGTGACACAATCATGGCTCACCACAGCCTCCAACTCCTGGGCTCAAGCGGTCCTCCTGCCTCAGCCTCCTGGGTAGCTGGGACTATAGGCACACACCACCACACCTGGCCAATATTTATTTTATTTTGTACAGATGAGGTTTTGCTATGTTGCTCGGCTGGTCTCAAACTCCTGGCCTCAAGCAGTCCTGCCTCGGCCTCCCAGAGTGCTGGGATTACAGGTGTGAGCCACCACTCCCGGCCTAGAGTTTGACTTGTCTGTACCTCAGTTTCTTCCCCTGTAAATTGGCAGTAATAGCACCTGCTTGTGGGGTTACTGAGGGCTGGAGTCGGTTAATGTGTGTGTAGCACTCAGAGTGCTCTGGCATATATTAACTGCAAACTAAGTGCTGGCTGTGATTATTTCTATACTTAGCACAGTACTTGGCACACGGCACGGGCTGAGGTGGTGGCAGCTGCTGTGATCATGCAGGCCTGGGGCCAGCGGCGTGCTAAGCCGGGTTATTGTGCGCGTCTCTTTGCGATTCATTCACTGAGGTCACGTTGATAGCTTGGAGCTGGCCCTGGTGGGAGTATTTACGCCATGGAAATTGACAAGGTATTTTTGAGAGCCAGTTTACTGCACAGGGGCTGGCAGCTGGGCGCGGTGAGCAGATAGGACGCGTGGCGTGCCAGAGCCCCGCACTCAGGAGGTCTCTCCACCTCCAGGGGCCATCTTGGACTCAGCATCAAGATGACCAGCAAATGGTGGTGTTGGGTGCCGGGAGGTGCACGGATGAGGCAGCCGACTTGGGTACCCAGGGCTGGGGACCGAGTCTGAGCGCATAGAGATGCCCCTTCTCTGGGATCTGACCCTCCGCCCCCCACCCAGCCACGTGTCTTGTGCAGTGCTCAACTCACACAACCTGTGGCAGCCTGTGGGGGCCAAGGAGATTGATATTTCCGCAGGCCCGTACCCATTTGCAGGTTCCAGGTTGGAAATCTCTCCCCTAGAGAGGGGAGGGATTCCTGCTGGGGTGTAGGGAATCATGGAGGCCTTCAGAGAGGAGGTGGCATTGGAGCCAGACCCTGGGATCTAAGGGGAAGAGGGTGTTGGGTGAGGGGTGGCATGAGCAAAGGGGAGGGGGCAGATCTCAGCAGAGCTCACACTGACTAGGGTGACTGGGCCAGGAGATGGGGGATTCTGGTGGGTGCTGAGGCAGAAAAGAGGGGTGGGCTGCGCCGTGAGTGTCTGTGGGGTGGACCTGAGGAGGCTGTGGAGGCTGCCTCCTGGCCTCTAGTCCAGGCCTCTGCGTCTCCCAGAGTCAGGCCGACTCCCAGGGCCTGGGCAGGACACAGAGGGTCTGGCTGGCGGACCTTGGGCTGGGGGCTCTCCAGATGTTCAGCACAGCTCCAAAGGTGGGCCCTCCTGAGGGGGCCGCAGGGGCGACCCGGGCCTCGAGGCTTGGAGGCCGTGGCCTCTCTTGACAGCCCGGGATCGCCGATGGCCGGGGCACCCCTCCTCGGGTTTAAGAAACGTCTACCGAGACGTTCCCGTGTGGAGTCCTGGCATCACGGGCCTCTGGGAAGGCAGGTGGAGGAAGCGGGACGGAGTTCGCAGTGCCGAGGTCCCACGTGCTGAGTCCTTCGCGGCCTGGCTGGGAGGCGGCTCCCGTTGCAGACGGGGAAGGGACTCAGAGAGGCTCAGCCTGGCGCCCAGATCCGCGACTGGGGCAGAGCAGGGACCCCACCCCCAGCCGCCCCGAGCTCGAATCCCCAGGGGTGGATGGACGGAGGGGCGACAGGGGTGGGCGCGTGGGGAGGTGAGTGGAGGAACGTGCCGGGATGCGGGGGGGGGTGCGTGCGTGGAGCTCCAGGCCCCGTGGGACCCCGCCCATCCCCTCCAGCTCACAGACAGACAGCCGCATCCTAGACAAACCGCGGGGAGGAGGCCGAGCCTCCGCCACGCGGGGCCGGGTCGAGGGCCTCCTGACCCCTCCCCTCATTGCCAGTCGCAGCCCCGAGCCATGATGAAGACCCTGTCCAGCGGGAACTGCACGCTCAGCGTGCCCGCCAAGAACTCGTACCGCATGGTGGTGCTGGGCGCCTCGCGGGTGGGCAAGAGCTCCATCGTCTCCCGCTTCCTCAACGGCCGCTTCGAGGACCAGTACACGCCCACCATCGAGGACTTCCACCGCAAGGTGTACAACATCCGCGGCGACATGTACCAGCTGGACATCCTGGACACCTCCGGCAACCACCCCTTCCCGGCCATGCGCAGGCTGTCTATCCTCACAGGTGAGGCCGCCGCGGCGGGGGGCCGGGCCGGCGCGGGCGGGGAGTGCACGGGTGCGCGCTTGGCACTCGGCGGTTTGCAGGGGGCTGGCGTAGCCGTCGTCTGAGATGAGGCTGATGCTCGCGGAGCCCTCACTGCCCGCCCGGACTGGGGACAGAGTCGGGGCCCCAGCCCGTTCTTTCTGACTCTGGCTCGGTGGCTCACGGCTGCCCGTACTGTCTTCCACATCAGAAACGATACAAGCCCGCCCTGGGGGGTGCTCCCTTCAGGGCACAGAACAGCGTCCAGGCTGTTGCCTTTCTCCCCCAGGAGGTGGCCAGCGGAGCTCCAGAGCCGGAGGTCAGTCCTGGCCCTCAAGCCTCCTGACACCCCAGGTCTTTGCTGCCCCTCAGAGAGGGGAGGGCAGGACCAGGCAGTGGCCACCGCGCTAACACTTACCCGTTCTTAGAGCCTGGCATGGGTTTATTTAACCTTCTGAACGGCCCTGGGAGATAGGCCGTTCAGGTGGTAACACAGCTGGCAAATGGCAGGCTGGCACTTGTGCTTTACCGCCAGCCTGTCCTGTGGCCTCTCAGCTCGGCTGGGCATGGGGAGAAGGCAGGGTGGGGGCGGTGGGGAGGGGTGTCATGGGTGATTCGGGGACACGGGGAGATGAGAGGCTTCAGGTACGTGAGTGTGGTCCCTAAGAGGGCAGGCCTGGAGCCCTGGCTGTCTGGGTCTGAGTCCTGGTCCCCCTGCTTCCTGGTTTTGGACCTAGGGGTGAGTGACTTGATCTCTTTCGGCCTCAGTTTTCTCATCTGTAAAATTGGCATCGCGTCAACACCCACCTCAGAGGTCACTGTGGGAGTGAAACCAGCTAGTGTATATAAAGTGTCTGGTGGGCAGACAGGAAGTGCACAATACACACGGGTCTTCACTGAGTCAGCGTTTATAGGTGCCTGTCCAGGCCACAGAGTGGTTTCCAAGCCATGCCCTCCTGTGGCTGGGCCATGAGAAGGGAAGGAGTGAGCAGGTATCTCTGGCCATCATTAAGATAATCCCCGCCTTGTTTCTACGCCAAGAGACCCATGCCATGCCCAGCTTCCGGCCCCATCCTGGCCAAGCCTGAGGCTGTGGGCGGCTCTGTCCCCGGGTACCCTGGGCAGATGGCGTCCATGCTATCCTTGCTGAAGGCACTCAAGCCCCGCCCCCTCACCCCATATATTTGAGAAGGAGCTCAGATAGAAAAGCCCCAGGTCAGCCTGGGCTTGAATCCTGGCCCCGCCTCTCGGTGGCTTAGATGCCTGATGGGTCCATTGAACCCATCTGAGTCGGCCTCCACAGATGCACTCCCCCTCTGGGGCTTGCAAGAGAGCATGTGGCAGGAGCTTCCACGTGGGTGGGCGTGGCACGGGCTTCAGCCCTTCAGCCTCGGGTAGGGGACTGGGTGCCCACGGACATCAATAAGGCTCATGGGGGGACACACGTGCGTGGTTTCAACATTCGTTTTCCATTTCACAAACAGCCTGCCTTCAAACGCTGCAAATCAGGCTGATGCCCCTTTGACCCATGTCCCCAGTCCCGGCTCCTGTCCCCTCCCCAGGGTGGCCAGCCTATCAGTCTAGCGTGGACCCTCCCAGCTCTCCTGCGAACACGCCGGCATCGGTCTTCGCGTCCCCACAGCGCAAGTGCATTTGTCTCTTTCTCGCGGTATCTCATTCTGAGCACTTCTGTCTGCTGTGCGCTATCTCCACTCCCCAAACCGTGCCTCATTTTCCAACCTGGAGCTGCCGTGCAGGAAACTCTGAAAGCCATTAATTCTGCCGCCAGCTCTTCTTCCAGCTGCCGGGTGGCTGGTCTCGGATGTCTGGCACCACGGTCCCTCGTCTGAACGTGTCAGGACCGTGAGCCCTCAGGGGCCCCGGATTAGCCCTGACGGGATGGGGCTTGGCAGCCCAGGACGCTGCCTTGCGAGTGTCTTTCAGAGCAGCCCACCTGCGGCCCCCTCCATTCCCTCCCCTCTGTCCCGTCCTCGGTGAGCACCCACCCTACGTCGACCCTGGGGAAATGTCTCATTTCATAAGCGGGGAAACTGAGGCCCAGAGGGGTTTGTGTAACTTGCCCCAGGGGGTAGCACACCTGGCAATCGACAGACCGGCTCTCGCACCGAGGGACCTGGTGGCCAGGATGGGTGGGCTACAGGGTCCTCCTCTGCTCCAGGGTTCGCTGCTGAGAGCCACCTTCGGCGAGAACGCCGTTTTGTGTGCGGCACGTGCCATTCTGGGGCAAATGGCGCACTCTGGGGGCCAGAGGAAGGAGGCTGCCATTCTGCCGGAAGCTGGAAGCGCTTGGTTCTCCTCCGGGGAACTTGGCTGGTTGCCGACTCCTCTGGGCCTCCGTTTCCTCGTGGGAGGTCTTGGGTCGATGCCACAGGCTATTCGGAGCTCAAGCAAACGTGGTGCAGGTGCTTGGAGAGTGAGACTGTGATCCTGGTTGTAAAGTCTGGAAGTTGGGACAAAGGCACCAGTCCAGTCAGCCTCCCGCCGCCCTGTCCCGTCCGTGACAGCCCCAGTCCAGATTCACAGCCCTGTCTTGAGTGACACGGGGAGCTACGGTCGAGATACATGGGCCTTGGAGGCTGGCGTTCACGTATTCGGCCCATGATTTGTTCAAGAAGCGGCACTCACTGGGTGTTGGACATGGACTGGGTGAGGGCAGAGTCGGCGTGTAAGCTGTGTGGCGTTGGGCAGGCCGCTTGCCCTTCCTGAGCCTCCGTCTGCTCACTGGTAACATGAAGGTACCAAAATCTCCCTGCCAGGGGAGTTGTGAGGCATCAAGGGAATGAGGGCCGTGGAGTGCGTGACTGACGCCGGGCTCTCAGTCGGGCCTTATTATCCGTCCTGACACCTGAGGTCCTGGGCACGTGTCACTCTCTGTTCCTTGTCTCATGCAGCCCTCAAAATAATCCCACAAGGCAGGATTTCATCTGCATGGGACAGGTGGGGAAGCTGAGGCTGGAGAGTGACCCGCTCAAGGCTACATGCTAGTAAGTCGAGGAGACAAGGTGCAGACTACGCCTGAGCAGGACAGGCAGGACGCCTGTTGTCACAGAAATGGCATCTGTCATTATGCCAGCACAACCCACATGAGTCCCTCGCCCCCTCCAGTCCTGCAAGGACATGTGAAGCCAGTTGGCTGTATTCGACCAGGCAGTGCCACATATTAGCCGCGTGACCCCAAACAGGGGATTTGGCCCCTCTGAGCCTCAGTTCCTGCCCCGAAAAGTGTAGAGAAAAATAGCAGCCCCCTGAGGAGTCGCTGTGAGGGTTGTCCGTGATGCCAGGTGACGGGCTCAGCACCCTGTAACCATCAGGACCGACGCTCGGTGACCCGCGGCAGGGAGGGGTCCGGCCGGCCCACGACTCACCACCTGCCGCGCTCTCTCCCCACAGGTGACGTCTTCATCCTTGTGTTCAGCCTGGATAACCGGGAGTCCTTCGACGAGGTCAAGCGGCTCCAGAAGCAGATCCTGGAGGTCAAGTCCTGCCTGAAGAACAAGACCAAGGAGGCGGCGGAGCTGCCCATGGTCATCTGTGGCAACAAGAACGACCACGGCGAGCTGTGCCGCCAGGTGCCCACCACCGAGGCAGAGCTGCTGGTGTCGGGCGACGAGAACTGCGCCTACTTCGAGGTGTCTGCCAAGAAGAACACCAACGTGGACGAAATGTTCTACGTGCTCTTCAGCATGGCCAAGCTGCCGCACGAGATGAGCCCCGCCCTGCACCGCAAGATCTCCGTGCAGTACGGTGACGCCTTCCACCCCCGGCCCTTTTGCATGCGCCGCGTCAAGGAGGTGGACGCCTACGGCATGGTCTCGCCCTTCGCCCGGCGCCCCAGCGTCAACAGTGACCTCAAGTACATCAAGGCCAAGGTCCTCCGGGAGGGCCAGGCCCGCGAGCGGGACAAGTGCACCATCCAGTGAGCCGAGGGGCGCCGGGAAGGGGTTTGGCTGGTGCCTTGAGGGAGGTGGCCCCGACGCCTGCTGCCCACGCCTCCCGACGAGGCCCCGGCTGCAGCCTTGTCCGCAGCCCTTCGGTGTCAGACTGGAGGCTCCGGGCGGCCCCGCTGCACACCCTTCTGCCTTCTCCCCGCACCCCTGAGTCCTCTTGTCCACGGCGCCTCCGTGGACACGTCTCTGCAGCCTCAGGAGTTATGCAGAGACCCGAGTCGGAGCGGTCCTTTCCTCGGGTTGGGAGAGACGCTGATGCCAGAGAGGCCAGGATTCCTGCCTCACGCGGGACCTCCTGGGTGAGCCCATCGGGCGAGGTCTCACCCTCCCGTCGGAAGGCCCAGCTTGGCTTGGTGGCACCTGGGAGAAGCCCCCTGATCCTGAAGCGCCTGCCCACTGGCTCACCTGTTTCTGCACCTCCCCTGCCCCTGCACACTCCCACGTCGACCCCCCCCCCCCGCCGACCCCTGACCTTGAGCCAGTGGCGGCTGTGTGAGGGAAGGGGATGTGGCCATTTCTTAGACGACCGCCGCTCTGCCCCTCCCCGGGCCTCCACCTGGCGGCTGTGCTTTGCTGTTGTTGCAGCTGTTTTCACGTCGTGTGTAGCTCTAGAAATGGACATCACTGTACTGTAAGCGCCTCGTGACCCCTCCTGGGCAGGCCCCGCCCAGCCCGCAGCGCCTGCCCCTGCTCCCAGACAGGGTCTCCGTGGCCTGTTTGCAGCTAGACGCTGGCCTCCGCCTCGAGTGCCAGTTTGCAGACCCTTGCACAAGCGTGGGGTGGGCTGGCCGGGGCCCTTCCTTTGCGCCCCCATTTCACAGAGGAGACAACGGAGACACAGAGGGGAAAGTGACAGGCCCCAGGCCCCACCCCCACCCCACCCCAGGTTCCCCTGGAGAGTTCAGGGCAGAGCTCCGCCTAGAACAAGGCTGTCCTCTACTGTGCTTGGTCCTCAAGCATTTATTAAGCACCTGCTGCGTGCTGGATCCACTGTGTGCTAGGAAACCAAGAGGGGCCACTGGCCCTGGTCTCTGCCCACCCCTGCCGCCCCACCATTTTCTGCCCACATAGCCCTTGGCAGGCATGGAGGAACAGCCAGGGGCCAGAGCTCAGCCTTGGAGAGGCCTGGCAGAAAAGCTCGGGCTGGGTCTTTTCCCTACACCCGGGATTGGGCTGTGCCGGGTACCACCATGCACTCAGGCATGGTGGGCTTCAAACCTGTAAACCAAAGGCCCTTATCATCAGCTCTTAACAAACACATTTTGTATTTTGATCTCTTTAAACATATTGAAGTTTAAGGCCACAGGGAACCTTAGTGATTATCTTGTGAGTCTTTCTGAGGCCCAGAGAGGATAAGTGACTTGCCCTAGGTCACACAGAAAATCCGTGAGCGGCAGAATCAGGCTAGCTCTGGGCACTTAGAACATACCACGATGTGCCCCTTCTCTGGACGTTCAGCCCCTGATGTTCTCAGGGTTTTGGGGCATCGTGTCCCCGACCCTCTCCCTGGACCAGTCTGTGAGGATCCTGTAGATACCGTGTACATCGTGACCATGTCTATACATGTACACACATGTGAACACAGATGTACATATGCCCTGGCCCCAGCTCTGCACACCCACACCTGCACCCGAGCCCTGGCTCCTGCCTGTACCCAAAGCCACAGTTCTGATCCTGCCTCTGTCCCCCAACCGCGCCTCCCTGCCCTCTGAGCAGACCAGGCACCTGGCCACACAGGTGTGTGGCCTGGTCTCACTGTCACACCCCCAGCCTGGAGCTCTGTGTATACTCTCAATTAAAGTGGGTTTGTTACAAAGCTATGGCCTTGACCATGTGCATTTTTTTTTTTTGAGTTGGAGTCTCACTCTGTCGCCCAGACTGGAGTGCAGTGGCTGCTCCCGGCCACCGCAGCCTCGACCTGCTGGGCTCCGGCGATCCTTACGCCTCAGCCTTCCGAGTAGCCGGAATTACAGGCATGCGCCACCATGCCCAGCTGGTTTTTTGATTTATTGTAGAGATGAGGTCTCGCTGCCCAGGCGGGTTTCGAACCCGCGGGCTCAGGCAATTCACTCACCTCAGCCTCCCAAAGGCGCGGGATTACAGGCTGAGCCACCGAGCCCGGCTTAACCATGTGCATTTTCTGTGTTTCCAAAAAGAGGCATGCCTCTTTCCCAGCCAGAGTTGGCTTTCCCCACCAAAATGCACCTGCTGGGTGCCCTTGCCCTGCAGGGCAGTCCTGGGTCTGCCTCCAAGTTTAAATATGAGAGGAGAGAGAAAACCCTGAGATTCAAGGTGGTGCACCCCTCTGCCTGACCCTTCTGGGTCCTCTAGGAGTGTGTACTGAGGTGTCGTGTCCCTCTGGAGGGGTGGCCGGGTCACACAGGAGAGGCTCCATGTGGACCTCCAGTGCCTCAGGTTCCTGATGTCCGAGTTCTTCACGGCCCCCTGGAGCAAGATCCTGCCCCAGGGGACATCTGACCACCTCTGGAAACCCGCTTTCCAAGATGGGCCAGGGGTGCCGCTAGCATCTTGGTGGGTGGAAGCCTGGGATGCCACTCAGTGTCCTCCCAGTGCCCAGAGTGGGCAGCCTCACAGAGACCGTCACCCTTAGGGTCAGGACGCAGCCCATGTGTGTCTGGTGGGTTTTTCAGACAACTTCCTGGAGGGTACTCAGTAAACCCCAGGGACGTGTGGGCCTTCCCCTGACATGGGAAGGACGTGGGTGGGGACGGCAAGTGGGGGCTGAGGGAGAGGGCATGCACCCTGAGCAACAGTTCACGTGCTGCCTGGGACCTAGGGGCTTCCCTGGCAAAGGAAAGGAAGGGGGTCAGTGGGTGCCCGAGGCATGTTCTACACGTCAGCTCTCACGCCACCCTCCTGCCATCCAGAACACGAAAGGCCGACTCGAATTCACCTCAGAGTGTGATGAGGGTCCAAGCTCAGAGACCTCAGTGTCTTGTCCAAGTTGGCATTGCTGGTGGAAGCCCAGGTCAGAGATTGAGCAGGGGTGGTCTTACCTCCGTGTGGGTGGGGGAAGGATTTTTGCCTCTGTGAGGTGCAGATGCAGTCTGTTTTTCAACTGAACATAATTGATGCTAGACCGAGAGACAAGGCCGGAGAGAGACAGGCAGGGTCCCTGCCCACTGGGAGCCCATAACCCTGCACATTCACAAACCTCCTGGCCCCTGCCAACCCAGCAGCTCAGCTGTCCTCCAACCCTCTGCCCACACCAGCCGCAGAAGGTCCATGTGGGAGGCACTCTGACGTGTTCTAGGTCCTGGTGTTGGTAAGCATAAATGCTGGAGGCCAACGCTCCCTCTGCATGGCAGTTGGCACCTGGCTGCCTGGAACACCCTTTGGGGTGTCCTACCAGAGCCACTGCCATGCTGTTCCCTCCCTCCACGTGGGTCTGCAAATAAGTCTTGTCCTCTCCTGGACTCTGCTTCCATTTCTTCATCATCAGGGCAGCTGGACCAGACACACACCGACAGCCCCATGCAGCCTGATGCTCCCTGCCGGAAGGAATTAATATTCTTGTGGCATAATCCATTGCATTCCCATCTCACCAAACAGAACCCGCTCCAGCAGCCCCCGCCCCACTCCCTGCTCCCGGCGTCTTGCAGTTCTTGTCCTGAAGGGGGTTAACTGCCACCAGCTGTGGCAGGAGAGGACTTTCCAGTCAGTGTCCTCCTAGCCCTGGACAGAGGGTAGAGGAAGATTGTAGGAAAATTACCCTCATGGCGAGACGATCCAGAGACCAGCTGGTGGGGGGTGGAGGTCATCCATCCCCCGGCCCTAGGAAGGGAGTGGTAGAAATCTGATTTCAGAGAATTTGCGGCGCCGCAAACTCCAAGAACTTGATCCGTTCTACCTTCCTGAACCTGTCACTTACTCAAAGCAAAAAGTTCAGTCTTGCGTCACAATGTGGTGGAGGCTCATGGGAGGCCTGCCAGGGCCTCCGCTGCAAAGGCTGCTGGGAACAGGGGAAGGAAAAGGGTGTTGACCTTTTCCAGAGACCTTACTCGGCGTCAAGCACTGTGCCCAGCCTTTTCCCCTGCATCCTCTTGTTGGATCCTCATGGGGAACATGTGGGAGGATTAGGCATCCCTTCTTAGAGATGAGGGAATGGGGGTAAGAGAGGTAAAGCCACTTGCCCGAGGTTGCACAGCCAGGAAGAGGCAGAGCTGGGCTAGAACCCCTCCATGTCTGATTCCAAAATGTCTGATTTCATAATGGAGCCAGCTGGGGTGGGGGTGGGGCGTGCTGTCTGTAGGGAGAAGCCAGCAGGTTGGGGTGCAGGTCTGAGCGTGGTTCGAAGGACGCAGGCGGTGGGGTGCTCCACCACTCGTGGTCAAAGACGGCGCCGCTGTAACCAGAGGAGAGCTTTTCTTTCTCGTGGAAGTCACTCTGCTCCACCTGGTCATTCGGGCATCCAGGTTTCCTCGTCTTCAACTTTCTCCATCTCTAGGACCTCGTCGCGGTCTAAAGCCACCGCCACATTCAGATTCAGCTGGAGGGGCAGGGGAGGGGAGCGCAGAGGATGGACACCTGCTGTGTTCAGGGCCACAGGCACGTCACTCCCACTGGCAAGAGCTCAGTGGCGTGACCGGACCCGTCTATGAACAGGCCTGAGAGAGGCAGTCAGTGCTCGGTGGCCCCATGCCCAGTGGTGAGCCTTTGTGGAAAAGAGAAGCAGCGGCCTGGCTGGCCAGCCTCCGGTCCCACCCCCCGGCCACTCTGAGGCCGCGGGTGCAGCCTCGGGATGCCACGCACGTCCCGACTCCAAACAAGCCCCACTCCGTGGACAAAATCCGAAGATGGCTCTAGCCTCTGCAGCATCTTTAAATGGGCTCTGAGCATGTGCCCAGCCCCTTCCCTGTCCCCAGGGGACAACTTGAACTGTCCCAGGTTTTTTCTCATCTCTCTGGGGAAATGGAATACGCCGCAGCCATGTTCCGTGGCAAAAGCCCCTGGTCCAGCTGGTAGTCAAACTTCTAGTCTTCCTTCAAAGGCAGGCCTTCCTCTCCTTCCTCCTGCTGCAGTCTACAAGGCACCAAAAGCTGAGACCGAGGAAGAGGAGGGTGCTTGGCTCACTCTTCTCATTCACTTTCTCCCTTCGATGCTCCCTGAAGTTAAAAAATAATAATTTTTTATTTTTAAAATACGACATGAAAATTGCTGGGCATGGTGACTCCTACTTGTAATCTCAGCACCTTGGGAGGCCAAGGCAGGAGGATTGTTTGAGGCCAGGAGTTCAAGACAAGCCTGGGCACATAACAGGACCCTGTCTCAAAACAAATCAATATTTAAAAAAAAAATTTAAAAAATAAAAATATTGCATGAAAATATTATTTATGTTGACTCCTGAGGGTTTTTTCTTTTTGGCATCTCAAATTTTGCACCTAAGGCAGTCGTGTCCTTTGTCTCACTCTAGTCCTGGCCTTGGTTCCTCTGTAGCTTCT